CCACTTTGGCAGGAAAAACGAAATGCAAAGATTCAGAATGGGGGATGCCTGGCTCGAGAGCAGTACGTGTGAAAAAGATCTTGGAGTCCTCGTGGACAACAAGTTAAACATGAGCCAACAATGTGATGTGGCGGCAAAAAAAGCCAATGGGATTTTGGCCTGCATCAATAGGAGCATAGTGTCTAGATCTAAGGAAGTAATGCTACCCCTCTATTCTGCTTTGGTTAGACCACATCTGGAATATTGTGTCGAATTCTGGGCACCACAATTCAAGAGAGATATTGACAAGCTGGAATGTGTCCAGAGGAGGGCGACTAAAATGATCAAGGGTCTGGAGAACAAGCCCTATGAGGAGCGGCTTAAGGAGCTGGGCATGTTTAGCCTGAAGAAGAGAAGGCTGAGAGGAGATATGATAGCCATGTATAAATATGTGAGAGGAAGCCACAGGGGGAGGGAGCAAGCTTGTTTTCTGCTTCCTTGGAGACTAGGACGAAGCAATGGCTTCAAACTATAAGAGGAGATTCCATCTGAACATGAGGAAGAACTTCCTGACTGTGAGAGCCGTTCAGCAGTGGAACTCTCTGCCCCGGAGTGTGGTGGAGGCTCCTTCTTTGGAAGTTTTTGAGCAGAGGCTGGATGGCCATCTGTCAGGGGTGATTTGAATGCAATATTACTGCTTCTTGGCAGGGGGTTGGACTGGATGGCCCATGAGGTCTCTTCCAACTCTTTGATTCTATGATTCTATGAAGGCGACTCAAGGCGGTTTACATTCGGCACAATTCAATCCCCCCCAACCAGGCATGTAGGGGGGGGGGGGGCTTTGGGGGCTTCCCCCCCCCCCCCGAAATTCTCATGGTAGTCTGCGAAAAGGCCTTACTGGTACATTATTTAAACTGTTATGTTTATTCATATCATGATCTGATCACCATGCTCAATATATCTCATATGCATCGGGGTATTGGGGTAACGATACAAAAGGTTTGCTAGGGTAGACCCTCTTTCACTCAGACTTATCCCCCCCCCCCATCAAAATCCTGGCTACAGGCCTGCCCCTAACATATAAAATATAATTTAAACATTAGCATATAAAATATAGGTTCATAAAAGTCAGTAAAAACATCCTTAGTGTCTCCTTACTGAAATCACTATTCAATCACATCGTCAGTCGTTCCATGGTCTGTCATTGCCTGTTACATTGCATTTGCAAATGCCTGCTCAAAAAGCCAGGTTTTAACCTTTTTGCTAAATGTTTAGAGGGAGGGGGCCAATCTAATATCCCTAGGAAGGGCATTCCACAGCTGAGGGGCCACCACTGAGAAGGTCCTGTCTCTTGTTCCCGTCAAACACATCTGAAATGGAGGTGGGACTGAGGACAGGGCCTCTTCAGATGATCTTAAAGTCCTAGATTTGTTTGGATAGGTAAGCTGGGTCGGAACCATTTAGGGCTTTATAGGCCAAAGCCAGCACTTTGAATTGTGCTCGGTAGCAAACTGGCAGCCATTGGAGCTGGTGCAGCAGAGGAGTTGTGTGCCCCCTGAGTGCCTCTCCTGTTAGCAACCTGGCTGCCACCCATATGCCTCGACAGAGGGTCACGTTCTTTTTCTCCAGTACCTCATATATGGGATTACCTTTCAGCCAGTCTCCAAAAGCCTTCATGTCGCCGGTGACATAACTCAGAGCTTTGCTGACCTGGTCCCAGCATCCCTCTGTCTCACTTTGAGTTTTGTCGGTCTTTTCTTTGGTGGCTTCCATTTCCATCACCAGCTTGGGATCCACCTGGCACAAAAGCAACAGCGCCTTAGCATCTCACGACTATTCCCCAACTAGATGATCATCAACAAAGAGTCTTGGGAAAGCTGAAAGACTTGCAAGTTTTATTTGGCAAAAACACACTTTGTGGATTCCAACCTGTTCATCAGATGCTGATGGGATAATGTCCAAACAAAGCTTTTGCCAAATAAAAGTTGGCAAAATGCGCTTGATTTTAAAGCATCCAAAGAAGTCTTTGTAAAGCAACAGAGTAAGAAAAGTAGCCCCTGGAAATTGATTTGTGGTCATAATGTCCTTATTCTCCTTCATGGAGACTTGCATAGCTATTCATCTCTCTCTATATATGCATGTATATAAGTCACTTGTGGGTTGCATTTTAAATTAATTTTGACATAATTGTAGATCTGCATCCTCCTTTCTAGTAGCCTTGACTTATGGAGTTCAAGATACCAAATAGAAATGGTATAAATAAATAAATAAATAAATAAATAAATATTGCTTCAATCATATCCTTTTCTATGTGAAAATGGCATCAAACTACAGGAAAGAAGATTCCACCTGAACATTAGGAAGAACTTCCTAACTGTGGGAGCTGTTCAGCAGTGGAACTCTCTGCTCCATAGTGTGGAGGAGGCTCCTTCTTTGGAGGCGTTTAAACAGAGGCTGAATGGCCATCTGTCAGGGGTGCTTTGAAGGGGATTTTTCTGCTTCTTGGCAGGGAGTTGGACTGGATGGCCCACAAGATCTCTAGGCCTAATACTAGGCTTTTTTTTTTTGCAATTTCCCCAAAAATACATAAACGTCCTTAATAGGATTAAAACTAAAAAAGTGTCAAAACATTGCAAGAGAAACTTTAAGTGAGATTTGTAAGTCTGTACTTATGAGCAAGGACAACAGTTTGGATGCCTTACATAAAATTGTAATTTAAGATGGAATGTGTAACTCCAATTAAATCATTATCATAACGCGTATACTTCAATAAAAATATTTTTATTTAGCTTTCAAATAGTTACCGTAGACACTATTAGCTGTCAAAAGGTGTATACATTTTTTTGGATGGACACATTGGATATAAACAAGCAAGAAAGCTATGATTGTAGGCAGCATAGATGTATACTAAAATAAAGTAAAATTAAAATCCTCTCTCTTTTGCACCTTGTGCCACCTGGAAGGAGCAGAATGGAAGTTCATATAACACTAAAGCATCGTTTCTCAACTTGGGGGTCGGGACCCCTTGGGGGAGGGGTCACAAGGGGGTTTCAGAGGGGTCACCAAAAACCATTAGAAAACACAGTATTTTCTGTTGGTCATGGGGGTTCTGTGTGGGAGGTTTGGCCCAATTCTATCGTTGGTGGGGTTCAGAATGCTCTTTGATTATAGGTGAACTATAAATCCCAGCAACTACAACTCCCAAATGTCAATATCTATTTTCCCCAAACTCCACTAGTATTCACAGTTGAGCATACTGAGTATTCGTGCCAAGTTTGGTTCAGGTACATCATTGTAATTGCTGTTTTAATGTTTTACTGTAATTTGTATTATGATGTTTTATTGATTGTATGTGATATTATGGTTGGAAACCGGTCTGAGTCCCTCAAGAGAGGTGAGAAGGCCGGTATACAAAACTTTTAAATAAAATAAAAATAATAATTGTAAGAGTCCACAATGCTCTCTGGATGTAGGTGAACTACAACTCCAAACTTGAGGTCAATGTCCACCAAACCCTTCCAGTATTTTTTGTTCTGTGTGGGAAGTTTGGTTTAATTTCATCATTGGTGGAGTTCAGAATGCTCTTTGAATGTAACTTAACTATAAATCCCAGCAACTAGAACTCTCAAATGACAAAATCAATTGCACCCCCCAACCCTCTCTGGTATTCATATTTGGGTGTATCGGGTATTTGTGCCAAATTTGGTCCAGTGAATGAAAATACCTCCTGCATATCAGATATTTACATTCATAACAGTAGCAAAATTACAGTTATGAAGTAGCAACAAAATTATCTATATAGTTGGTGGTCACCACAACATGAGGAACTGTATTAAGGGGTCACGGCATTAGGAAGGTTTAGAAACACTGCTCTAAAGTAATATTGACACCAGTGCCTAGTGAAATCCAAAGGTATTCATCCAGATACCTTTATGAATGTGCCATGTGGGCATTGGACAAATAATTTATGGCATTGTGCCATAAGTTAACATTCCCTTTCCATGTTCGTATCTGCATCTCCAAGGAGTACATGGACAGGAGTCAATTGAGTTACGTATCAGCTGCCGATTCAAAGCTGGTGTGCTTCTCAATGTGGTTGGTGGGGAACAGAAATGGGGAGAGGTTCTTATTCTCAAGCCTAGCTTGTTGGCTTTCTATGAACATCAGTCTACAGACTGATGGATACAATAGGCCAACAGTGTGATCTAGCATGAGCTTTTTTCATGATATATGATGGGGAAGAATTCACCCACTTGTCCCACAAACAAGCTGACCCTTGAACCTCAATTCTAGATGGAGGCCATGTCCAAAGTATTCCTACCTGGGCTTCCGGCCTCTTCAAGAGTGGCATGCTTTGAGAGGGATCTTGGGTGCATTCTGACCACCGATGGCTCTTAAATTCAGAGTCATGAGGCTTGTGTCCACCTGATGATGTATCGGATGGGACTGGGCTGGTGGAAGGCCCTGGAATGTCGGTGAGAGGACATCCATCCATCTTTCCTAGCATTACATGTGTGACAAAGTGCAGGGAGAAGGAAGTCAGAATGTGGTCTCTCTGTCCTGGCGAGTATTTTATTATTTTACAGACATTTGGTCAGCTGTGCTTTCTTTGGATTATGGCAGGGTTGGGCATCTCCAGGTCAATCTTTGGGAGATTGCCATCAATGCCCTTGGGCACTGTGTGGTGCATTGGGCTAATTAAATTTATCTCTGAAATAACCTGCAGGTCCCTCTTACATTGTTTAACATTAAAAACCATCAGCTGTCTTCCTTTTCTGCAGTTACAAAATTGTAAGGTGGACTGGACATAACTCCTGGGGATTCATTTTTTATCTTAACTTGAAAACTTTCCTTCTCAACCTGGTAATACCCCGGATATAGAGCTTTTGAGGCACTTCAGACTGGGGTGCTAACACATGATGACTGCAATTTTCTTCTAGGTACATCTACACTGGAGGGTTAATGCAGTTTGACACCACTTTAACTTCCATGGAAGCATGGGAGTTGCATTTTGGTGAGGCACCAGAACTCTTTGGTCCCTTCCACACAGTCCTATATCCCAGAATATCAAGGCAGAAAATCCCACAATATCTGCTTTGAAGTGGAATATATGGCAGTATGGACTCAGATAACCCAGTTCAAAGCAAATATTGTAGGATGCGCTACCTTGATATTCTGGGTTATATGGCTATGTGGAAGGGCCCTTTGCCAGAGAAAGGTAAACATCTTGATAGAAGAGCAACTCCAATGATTCCATAGTAGTGATCCATGAAAGTTAAAGTGGGGTCAAACGGCATTAACTATACAGTGTAGGAGCATCCCAAATTGCCTCTTGTAACTGTGTTGTAACACTACACAATTAAAGTGCTTTGATGCCATCTTAGCTGCTGTGATTGTGCCCTATGAAATAATGAATTGTGTAGTTTCATGAAGTGCAAAGTATTCTCAACCTGAAAGCCCTAGTATTTCAACAAGATACAAATCCCAGGATTCTGTAGGAAGAAGTAATGTCACATAAAGTGGATTCAAAGTGTTACAACTCTTTGGTGCAAAAGTGTTCCCTGATGAAAAAAGCAATGTCTCATTTCCAGTGACAAAGCATCATTGAAACACACACAGGAAAACCTGTGCGAGTTTAACAACAGGGTGAGGAGGCCAGGTCATTCAACCCTTTCTGGCCTTTTGTTTATAAACAACTTTATTATTTTTTGGGTAAGTAAACCTTATAAAAATCATAAAAAATGTGTCTGTATATAGAAATACAACAAGGGCGTGGGACCTATCTACTTCATGGCATGGAAGACCTACCCAATATGATGTGAAGCTTGTATTTGAAGAATGATGCTAGACACCCTTTGGTATACTCCACTGGTGTAATTATGGGCTGGTCTACAGTTATAAAATCTGGTGCTGACAGTCATTCTGACTTTTGGTAAGTATCCAGAAAGTATTGTCAAAGGCTTTCATGGCTGGAATCACAGGGTTGTTGTCGGGTTTTTTCAGGCTATATGGCCATGTTCTAGAGGCATTCTCTTCTGACGTTTTGCCTGGATCTATGGAAAGCATCCTCAGAGGTTGTGAGGTCTGTTGGAACTAAGAAAATTGGGTTTATATATCTGTGGAATGTACAGGGTGGGACGTTCCACAGATAAGAGTTTTTTCTCCCACCCTGGACTTTCCACAGATATATAAACCCAATTTTCCTAGTTCCAACAGACCTAATAACCTCTGAGGATGCTTGCCATAGATGCAGGGGTTTTTTTTTGTCGTGTCAGGAGTGACTCCTGGTGTGAGAGAATTGGCCGTCTGCAAGGACGTTGCCCAGGGGACACCTGGATGATTTGATGTTTTTATCATCCTTGTGGGAGGCTTCTCTCATGTCCCCGCATGAGGAGCTGGAGCTGATAGAGGGAACTCATCCACCTCTCCCTGGATTCGAACCTGCGACCTATCGGTCTTCAGTCCTGCCGGCACAGGGGTTTAACCCACTGCGCCACTGGGGGCTCCTATAGATGCAGGTGAAACGTCAGGAGAGAATGCCTCTAGAAAATGACCATATAGCTAAAAAAAAAAAAACCCTACAACTATCCAGAAAGTTTTGCCCTCAACCTAACTTTCCTCTGCACTAAGCAGAATTGGAGGATATTTCTAGGAAACTCAGGAGTATCCTCAGGCTTGGTGACCATCTAGATAGCTGGACTGGATCCATTTTGGTTTCATCTATTGTCTACACATTGGATGCCAACACCTTGTGGTGAGGCTTATCTTTGAAGGGGATGAGTCTGCCTATTGGGATGAGGTGGCCAGCTGTTCTTGTGGTGTAAGGACAATAATCTTAACATCAATAAGACCAAGGAGCTCATAGTAGACTGCAGAAAGAACAAACCAGAAATCCAGCCCTTGGTCGTAAATGGAGACCAAGTGGAAAAGGTAGCAGTTGTAAGTTCCTGGGTGTCACTGTTAAGAAGGATCTGACCTGGGGCACTCATATGGCAGTACTATCTGAGATTTCAAAGGAACCAACGACTGAATGGAAAACTGGTGTGACTTTCTACTGCTGTGCTATAGAGATTGCCCTAACCTACCACATCTATGCATTGTTCGGTAACTGCACAGTGGCAGATAGGAAGGTGCTCCAAAGGGTCACTACTACTGCGCAGAGAATCATTGGTTGCCTTCTTTCTCCCCTTTTTGGAAGAACTTTATATATACCACAGTCTTAAGAAAGCTCAGAGTATTCTTGGGGATCCATCTTGTTTGAATTATTACCATCTGGCAGATGGTACAGGATGACAAAAATAAGGACAAACAGACTGTGAGAGATAGCTTTTATTCTGGAGCTGTAACTATATCGAACTCCATGGTTTCACATTGATGTGGCATTGGGGACGATGCAGTGGTGGTTGGAGTGTGTTGGGATGGGTATGTTGTTTTTGTGATGCGTGCTGGGGAAAGCATTTAATCTCAGTATATAATGTACAATGACAATAATGTTATTCTATTATATTCCTTGTGTTGCTAAGTGCAGGGAAGGGGATAGGCAATGATAGGTGACTGTCATTGCTCCTCGCCAGCCATAGAGCTCCCTGCGATCACCTGACCATTGCAGTTGTCTCTGTTGAGATTGGAATGGGGTGCTTGCAAGAAGGAGGGGGATGCTGTACAAGGGAATGACGGTAGGGCTGATTTGGTCTCAGTCTTGTTGGACTAGCTTGACACCAAGGAGGCAAAGTGTTCATCCCAGTATGTGTGTGGCTGCTATCACAGTCGATCTGTGGTCAGTCCAAAGCTTAATACTCCAGATTGGCCCAAGATTGTAGACATGACCTTTGAGCAGTGGTATACAGCAGTGGTAGTCAGAAGAAAAAGAGGCTATCATTGCCATGCCTGACTGTCCCAGGCCCCAAGATTCCTAAGGGCTAGTCATGATTCCTTGTGATGCCACAGGGTGCTCCTAATGATGCTATTCCACGTGACATGATACCTTTTCATCCTTACCATAAAGGGCAGAGAGAGTCCCAAAGGTAGAAAATTGTTCCCAAAGTTGCCCATTTCTCATTTAGTGAAAGAAAGGCAAGAATGGGTATGCTTTCTCCTATCTGAAATACATAGTCTGCAGCTTTTTTGGGGTGGGTGGGAGTGAATTCTTATAGAAATAAAACCTGAAATGAATTTTTTTCCATTTGCCATCTCTCCAATCCACTTGTTACCCCAATTCCCTATTGTAAAGAGGATTTTTTGTGTGTCAGGAAAGACTTGAGAAACTGCAAATTGATTCTTGTGTGGGAGAATTGGCCATCTGAAAGGATATTGCCCAAGATGCCTAGATGTTTTACCCTCCTGTGGCTGGCTTCTCTCATGCCCCTGCATGGGAAGTTGGAGCTGACACATGAGAGCTCACCCGCTCCCCAGATTTGAACCGCCAACTTTTTGGTCAGCAGTTCTGCCAGCACAAGGGTTTAACCCATTGTGCCACCGGGGGCTCTCAAAAGAGAATCATATTGTGCTAAATATAATCATTTTTTAGAGTCACCTCATCATTAACCTTATTTAGCACAAGAGAATCACACTGTGACTCTAAAAAATGATGAGGTGACTCTAAAAAAAGTTGGTAGCACTAATTTTACACTAAAGAGGATGAATACACAGGGAAATGAACTTACAGTTTTTAAGAACGAAGCATGCCAAGCCTTTGCCATAGATCAGGTATGGGCAAACCCAGGCCCAGGGGCTGGATGCAGTCCCTTCGGCTCTTTTCTCAGGTCTTCCTCTCGCTCACCATCTTATCCTTCCTTCTCTCTTTCCTTCCTCCTTCTCTCTCTCCCTTCCTTACCTCCTTCTTTCTCCCTCTCTCCTTCCACCCTTTTGTCCTTCCTTCCCTCTTTCCTCTCTCCTTCCTCCCTCCTTTCCCTTTTGTCTTTCCTCCCTTCCTTCTCTCCCTTCAATCTTTCTCCCTCCCTCCATTCTCTTCCACCCTTTCATCCTTCCTTCCTTCCCTCTGTCCTTTATCCTTTCCTTCCTCCTTTCCCTCCTTCTCTTTTTCTTTCCTACTTCCCTTCCATCCATCCTTCCCTTCCACCCTTCCACCCTTTCACCCTTCCTTCCTTCCTTCCCTTTTTGCCTTTCCTCCCTTCCCTCTTTCCTCCTCCCTCCCCTCTCTCCCTCTTTCTCCTTCCATCCTTCCCTTCCTCCCTTTTTTCCTTTCTTGCTTCTCCTTTTCCTTCCTCCTTCCCTCCTTCCTTCCCTTCCACTCTTTTGTCCTTCCCTCCCTCTTACCTCCCTCCCTCCCTCCCTCTTACCTCCCTCCCTCCCTCCCTCCCTCCCTCCTTCCTTCCTTCCTTCCTTCCTTCCTTCCTTCCTTCCTTCCTTCCTTCCTTCCTTCCTTCCTTCCATCACCAGGCAGCCAGTCCTCTTAGCAGGGAGTGCTAGCATGCGGCCCCCAATTTAGACAGTTTGCCCATGCCTGCCATAGATGTATCTATTCAGCCCTTTTTTA